GATGCCTTCACGTCCAGCCCCGGCCGGGACCTGCCCCCCTTCGAGGATGAGTCCGAAGGGCTCCTGGGGACCGAGGGGCTCCCCGCAGATGAGGAAGAAGGGGAAGAGCTCATCGGGGAGGGGATGGAAAGGTAAGGAAACCGCTGGGAGCCAGCTTCTGGGGGGGTTGTGTCTGGGGAGGGGGTTTTGCTAACGGGATGTGAGTGCAGCCAGCGACATGGGGGGGCTCCCAGCCATGGTGGGGTCTCTGCTGTGCTGGTAGCTGTGGTGAGGGGGCTGAAGAGCTGCTGGAGAGTGGAGAAAGATCAGGATGCGGTGTCATTTGAGTCCTGGAAGAACTGAGCAAATTGCCAGCTGGGAGCGAAGTGCCATCCTGCCCCAGTGTGGGTGAACCAGCATCTCCCTGGGCGCATGGTGTTGCATCCAGCCCAGCTCCTTGCTCCTGCAGGTGTAAATGTTCAGGTTTTGTTACTCGGCCAGCCCTGCCGGCAAGCTGGTGAACTTAACAACGCAAAGGATTGAATGCTGACGTTCATAACCCTGGTGCTGGAGCCTTTGGTGCTGCGAGGCATCTGCTGTGAGGTGCCTTCCTCCTCCTCAACATGTTCAGTCTTGCTGCAGAACGACTGTCCTGACACCCAGCAGCAGCCAGAGGAGAGCTGGAGAAACGCTTTCTGGAGCCTGGCCTGATTGCGTGTGTGTGTGTGTGCTAGGGACTACCGCCCCATCCCGGAGCTGGACGTCTACGAAGCAGAGGGCCTGGCCTTGGACGATGAGGATGTGGAGGAGCTGACTGCCAGCCAGCGGGAAGCCGCCGAGCGAGTAATGAGGCAGCGAGACCGCGAGCTGGAGCAGGGCATGGGCCGCATGAGGAGGGGGCTGCTCTACGGTAGGTGCAGATGGGGTGCTGACCCCCGGGTGGTTAGCTGTATGCCAGCCCCCCTGGGGAGCTGGACTCTGGGAGTATTTGGGATCTTGGTGAAATCACGGGCTGCGGGCTTGGCTGGGCTCCCCAGTGCGTGATCCCTTTGATCTGGGCATCCCGGGGGCTCACTTGGTGTGTTCCTCTGGTTACGGGTTTGCTGCTGAAACAAAGGCAGGGTGCTGGGGCTGTGTCAAGAGTTTGGGATTCTACCAAGCATACGCTGTGGAGGTTGTTCATGTTCCTATAGAGACTCTTGTGGGCTGGATGGGAGGCTGTTTGATGCTCTAGGAAGCCCATTCCTTGGTGTTCCTTCCGCAGTGCATTAATGGGCATGGCTGTGTGCTGTTGCAGACAAATCCTATTCACCCCCATAATGTCTTTAGCTCTGTTGTGGAAGATGTAGGAGCCAGGCTAGAACTGGATTTAGGCTGGGTCTGGGATGGTTCTTGGTTTGCATCCCAAGCTCTGACCTCTTTGCTTCCCCAGCCTGTGCACTCCAGCCATGACTAATCCAAAGAGTGGGAGTGGGAATCCCAATTATTTAACAACTTTTCCTCCCAACCCTTAGATAGTGACGATGAAGACGAAGACCGTCCTTCACGGAAGAGGCGGCTGGCAGAACGGGCAGCTGATGGCATGGCAGAGGAGGATGAAGACATGATTGAGAGCATTGAGAATCTGGAAGACATGAAAGGGCATTCGGTGAGGGAGTGGGTGTCCATGGCAGCTCCCCGGCTGGAGATCTACCACCGCTTCAAGAACTTCTTGAAGACCCATGTGGATGACCATGGGCACAATGTCTTCAAGGAGAGGATCAGCGACATGTGCAAAGGTAGGGCTGGGTGATTCAGGGCTCTCTCCTCTTTACATGGGTCACGGTATGTTGCAGGGATCTGGTCCATAGGTGGATTTTTTCTGCCTGCCTTGTTTGTCCCAGACATTGAGTCAGCACTTTGAAACTTGGATGCTGATGGAGATAAATGAATAATGGAAACATGTCTACTATCTTCTTTGATTTTGGCTGACTAATTAGAAGGCCCCTGGCATCTGTTACTCATTAATATTCATGTCGTAGAAATGCTAGCGAAAGAATATGTGGGGCAGCAGACAGCAGTCTGCAAGCTTGCAGACTGAAAGAGACAATTGCTTGCTGTCTGGGCCAGTTACTTTCTTACACTGGAAACGGGATTATCCAGCAAGGGGACACAAACAGACCTTGTGAATTGGGAAACCATGTCAGTGTTGCAGCCTTGTGTTCTGGGGAGGCACTGCCAGAAAAAGAAGTCACTAAGGCTGTCATTGATAAATTTTAAAAGCAGAAATTGTCAGATCTAGAAACAGCTCCTGTGACTGCGGTCGTTTGTATTTCTTCTTTGTATTGTGGCAGAAGCTCCAGAAGCCTGAGTAGTGATCAGGGTCAGTGTTAGACAGCTGGGAAAAAAAGGCATCTGTCTTGTCCCCTTCCAGGCAGATAAGACTCGGACATTTTTGCCAGCCATTCAGCATGATTGTCTCTCCTATTAATGTCTGTTTCCTGGAGGTCTGTGGGAGAGTTGTGTGTTGGTCTGAAGCTTTTGAGTCTCAGGGGCACTGAGCCTGGGAGGTGTCCGTGCCGAACTGGAGAGGAACAATCACAAGCTTGGTACTGATGAGGAATGTCAGAGAAATAAATTAAGAGTTTTCCAGCCGTTTTCAAATTGTTGACCTCTAAACTGTTTTCAGGGAAGGTGCTGACATCTGCAGGATGCAGGCTTATCCTGGCTGTCTTTTGCAGACTCCTTGAGGAGTGAGCAGATTGAAAATACAATTCACCCCATCTTTTTCTTAAGAGAACAGAGAGAGCCTGGTGGTGAACTACGAGGATCTGGCAGCCCAAGAACACGTCCTTGCCTACTTTCTGCCTGAGGCCCCAGTAGAAATGCTGAAGATCTTTGATGAAGCAGCCAAGGAAGTGGTGTTGGCCATGTACCCCAAATATGATCGTATCGCTCAGGAGATCCATGTCCGTATCTCCCACCTCCCGCTGGTGGAAGAGCTGCGGTCGCTCAGGTAAGCAGCAGAACTGCCAGCAGTGGCTGTGGGACCTGCAGCAGGCTTTGGGATGCTCAGGAAGACTCATGTGCTAGCTATAAATCGCTGTGGGACCTGCAGCAGGCTTTGGGATACTCAGGAAGACTCATCTGCTAGCTAAACCTCTGGATAAATGCAGCAGGATGACAGCTTATTACAGGAAGAGTCTTATTAAGGATGAATTTTCAGTGTCTCCAAGGGAAAACACAAACCTTGGTGGAACACTCCTACTGGTAACTGTTTCTTTCTAGGTCTTTGGGAGTTGTGCCTTGTAGCAAGAGTATTTCTGGAGGGTGTTCTGCCTTCTGTGCTCTGCAGGCATCCAGCATCTCTCTGCCTTTCCTCAGGCAACTGCACTTGAACCAGTTGATCCGGACCAGCGGAGTGGTGACGAGTTGCACAGGGGTCCTGCCTCAGCTCAGCATGGTCAAATACAACTGCAGCAAGTGCAACTTCATCCTGGGACCCTTCTTCCAGTCTCAGAACCAAGAGGTGAAACCTGGCTCCTGTCCAGAGTGTCAGTCTCTTGGCCCCTTTGAAATCAACATGGAAGAGGTAAGACATGCACGTGCCTGGATGGGCTCCCTGCCCCTCCTGCCCTCTCCCTGCCCTCCCCCTGCCCCTCCTGCCCTCTCCCTGCCCCTCCTGCCCTGCCTTGGCTCCCTGCTTTGAACAGGATTGGTGCTGGGAGAGGGGGTCTGCTGCCCTGTCCAGGGCTCTGTGAAGACAGATCTTGTCTATTTGACCTCTTGACCTGAATCTGCCCAATTTAGCAGCCAAAAGTCATTTACTGCCTCATTGTAAGTGTTTGGGCTGAATCTTTTGCCCCACTCATCCACGTGGTACCCGGCTCCCTATCCATATTGTAGAGATGCAGACACAGACTGCCCAGCTCTCCTCTTGCCCAAGTCAGGTCAGTATTTCCTGATCTGCCAGCTAAGGAAACTAGAGGAGAGTAACAAAATTGTTGCTGTGGAGCTTCTGACTTCCATTCTTTGCTTTGATATCTTCAACCACCACAAGTGGAGCAGCCTCCTCCCAGGAACTAGTCCAGTATTTGGGTGGACAAACACTGCGGAGGCTGAAGCCCAGTGGGGAGATGTGGCAAAGTGCTTACCTGTCCCAATTGTTGTCTGTCACACCCTGGAATTGCTCCTCACCACCTCTATCCTCCCATGCCCATAGTTTTCTAACCAAAGTACAGTAAATCTTCGAGTGGATCTTCTCTGAGATGCCTTTGAAAGGCATCGTCTGTGCTGATGCCCACCAGATGTGCCGGGTAACTTTTATTTTATTGCTGCAGACGGTCTATCAGAACTACCAGCGCATCAAGATCCAGGAGAGCCCTGGGAAGGTGGCTGCTGGCAGGCTGCCCCGCTCCAAGGATGCCATTCTCCTTGCCGATCTGGTTGATAGCTGCAAGCCCGGGGATGAGATTGTGAGTACGCTGGTGAACTCAAGGATGGGCTGAGCACAGAGCAGTTCTAAACCCTGACAATGACATTGCAGGAACATCTGTGGGGACACAGGGAGGGATTGTCCTTGGATGCATTTGGGCAGCTGCTTTCAAGACTGGTATCTTAAAGTGGAGAGGGGGTTGTTTTGTACTGACATACCCTCTCCTGGCTCCCAGGAGCTGACAGGGATCTACCACAACAACTACGACGGCTCCTTGAACACTGCCAACGGGTTCCCAGTGTTCGCGACTGTGATCCTGGCCAACCACATCACCAAGAAGGACAACAAGCTGGCTGTTGGGGAACTGACTGATGAAGACGTGAAAGTGATTGTGGGTCTGTCCAAGGATGAGCAGATTGGGGAGAAGGTGGGTCAGCCTCGGACATCCCTTCTTTTCCTGTCGATAGTTTGCTGTCACCTGGTACATGGATCAGAAAGTGAGGAAAGGTGTCAGCTGGCTAAACACTGGTTAAAGAAACTTTTAGAAATCCCAGTTCCCTCTGAATGGTCTTCAGGTCTTCTGTAGCTCTCAGACAGCTGTTGATGAGAGTCAGTTATAGGAGGGAAGTAAATAAGACACTTTCCTTGTACTTTTGGGGGTCAAATTTTATTTTTCTCCCTTCCTTACTCTGAGCCTTCCACATCACGACAGGGCTGAAAGATGGGTGAGAGGTGCTCAGACACTGCTTATATCTGATCATTATTTTCTCTCCACATATCTTGAAAGCAAAGTGGGGGAAGGGTTCCGAGGAGCCAGTTCTTGCGTCTCCAGTCCCCCTAAGGGGATGTTGTTTCTTTAGCGTAAGCTGTGGTAGAGATCTTAGCTTTGCTTCTCTCTGTGTGCTAAGACCTGAATCCAATACTTGAAAGAAAAAAGCTCCTGGGTTGGTGCGTGTTTAACCTCACTTGGGTCAGGATTAAGCTCTGTAATAGGGAGACTTTGTTCTGTTGCCTTGGTCGTGCTGGTTTTATATCGACTGCTGTTCCAGTGGGTGGAGCAGCTTCAGTTGAGCCAGGACTGCTTTAACATCGGTGGTCTCCAGCATCGGGCTATTATCAGAATATCCTTGAGAAAATGAGCCGGTTGTTCATAATATTTGACCATGACGACAATTCAAGTGCAGCATAGCCCATCCAACTACTGTCATGTGCAGTGAGGCTCAAATCAAGGTCTCCAGCTTTGCCGCAGCTGATAACAGCGCTGCGGTGTGCAACAGGAGCGCGGAGGCAGCAACGGCAGCTTCCAGCACCAGACTACACAGTCTGCTGTGCCCCGACAGCACCGGTTTTGTGAAGCACCTTTAGGGGACTCTGGGTGGGTAGTGACCTTTGAAAAAGCCCCCTCACCTTGGATAATACAAGACGCCTCAAAGACAGCAGTGTTGTAACCATAGATACAGCCCCTTGTGGATTTTCCTGCCAAATTGTGCCCAGGCTGGGAAATGGTATTCCCTGGACAACTCCTCTGGTTTTCCTTTCAGATTTTTGCCAGCATTGCCCCATCTATTTATGGGCATGAAGATATCAAGAGGGGCTTGGCTTTAGCTCTCTTCGGTGGAGAGCCCAAAAACCCAGGTGGGTGTCACTTGTGTCACTTGGGGCTGCTCCACTCAGCTGCAGGCAAATGGGTCTGGGTTTGTCTGCGCTGTCGCAGTTAGCGTGGTTAGAGTTGTCTGTGTGTCCCGGTGACGGACGAGGTAACAGGCTGAGGGATAGCTGTCATGCTTTTATCGTACTGAAAACTCTGGTGTGACAGTAGAAATGCTAAGACTGAAAACAGCTCCTGCTGCAAACCTGGGCAAGGTTTTATCCTGCCTCCCCAAGGCATCGCGTTTGATGCCCCTGCAGAGGTTTGGCCTTTCAGTGTCCTGATTTGTTATCATCTCCTTCTTAGAAGG